CAAGATTAATCTATTCAACACAAGTACTAGATAATCAAATCATACACTCGCAGCAGTGCAATACAAAAAAAAAGGGGAATCGAGAACTACGAATATTAGTCCGCACAGTATACACTATCAAACTGCAAGGAGCCATACGAGGCAACTCAAAGAACAAGATAAAACATAGCTATACACAACGTGCAGACTCACGAGGTAACGTTCCATTCCAAATTAATACATAACTATATCAAGCTATATACGCCAATCTGCAGATACGTAAAACTATCTGCAAAACATAATACAAGCAATTCAAGCGACGCCACGTGCTCATATACAAGGAAGCGCGGGGGTTTACGACCTCGCTCTTCTGTATGTATTATTTCATCTACACGTGTGTTACATATAGAGGACCAGCAAGTCATCAACTTCTTCCTGTGTATGCGACTTACGTGATAGCTCAGTGACAATAAACATACAAATCAAGAAAAGTAGAAAAATCAATTATAAAAATAAAACTAATTATAATTCAACTGGTGCAATCATAAATAAAACAAACTAAATAACAAAACTAATCTTTATTGAATACATGTACTATCTTGTCCACTAGCCTGCAATCCTCCTATCAACATCGGGAGCTCACATTTAATCTTAGTTACTTGGCCCTCCTCGTACCGGTACTGTCGTGCGACCGCCAGAGGCGCGTTGAGGGCATTGAAATTGAGAGCTCTTCATAGCGCGAAGGCCAAGAGAAAACTGAGTTTCGTGATTGAAGGCGATGCCGCGATAGACACTGCCCTCGGTTGATAAACCATAAGCTCTTCTATTGGACATAAAAAAAGGGAAGGGATCCCAAGTGGACACCATGATCAGTGAACTGTATTTATGAGGGACAACCATAAGATTTAATCACTCACATTGAAGTCCTCATAGAAGAAAGAAGTGGTAAAGTTCCCTCAACTGTGTCCAAAACAAGTCTTCGCTTGTAGTCTTATCTACTTAAAGGATTAAGATCGCTTCAAAGGTACACGCAAAATTATATTGCCTGTAATTAAGGAGAATCTCGCTAGTGCCCCACACGCACGAAGCACCCGCCGGCAAGCCAATCTTTGCGCCACTCAGCGCCCACCTTGCCGATCGTATCTCTCTCCTGGTTCAGGTCCTACGTTCACGAGGCCAATCTTCGCGCCACTTGCGTCCACCTTGCCGATCCTAACCTCTAACCAAGCACGTGTCCCACATGCACGAAGCACGAATCGGCTAGCCAATCTTCGCGTTATTCATCACTCATCTTACAGAAACATCGAAACAGCACCTCGCACTTCCCAGGGATAGCACCAGAACGAAGAATTCATCGATTGATATCAGCAACAAGAATCATTTCTATATCTGGAAATTAACGGAATAAACAGCATAACAAACAGATGTGTTAATATTGAATTTAATACGCTATTCCTTCCACTTACCCAAACACTTTTACTACATAACATTTCGAGGTCTCTAAGTTATTCTAAACATTTTCGTCCTTCGAGCTGGATTTGGTAAACAAGCCGGATCATCTAACACACTTTGTACACACATACATTTCTGCATATAAGGCATGAAAGTTACTGAAATATTTACAAAAATGATAAAGTCATTATATTTAAAAAAATTGTACTTATATACTTTTTTAAAACGTTTTTTATGTATATACAATATGTTTTATTGTATTATACAAATATAATACAATATATTTGTATATTTAACACATTTAATTTAGGCAAAGTCATTATAATTATAATTCATACAAATATATTTATACAAATAACATACATATAAATAACATAATTATTTATTCACTTTCGCGTATTTTAATAAATTCTAATATATTATTGGAGGTATAATAATATAATAGGTATAATATAAATGGAGGTTTTTAGTCTTAATCCCAGATATAAATAAATACAATTGTAAAATATTTATAATTATTTCCAATGAACACATTTATTTTTAAGATGTATATATTTATTTTTAAATATTCATTCTAATCGTATTCAACCATTTTTATTAATGCAACTGAATTTTTTACTTGATACATTTAATTCTAAAATATTAATCTATATATTTTAAAAAATAAGCGTTATTTATGATAAGCCTATGAAGTTTTAAAATATTGACTTTTTCTAATTAATTACTACAGCTAGTCACAACATCTTCGTTAAAACATCTCCATCGTGAACAATGTCAGCATTGGTCATCATATAGGTATTAAAATCAACCATGACAATCCATTTTTGAAAAAAATGATTTCATATGTAGGGGATATAGAAGAAATCATTAATTATTTAATTTTATCAAAAACCAATGGTATCAGCTGTATCAAGATCTAAATGTCACGTTAACAAATATACAAAAAAAGATACAAGTTTCTTGAATAAACAAATTCATAAGGAAATTAAAATAGAATTAAACGGAGATAGTGTTTTTAGACCTAGAATATCATACGGCTAATAACAAGTAATGATAATATAAATTTTACTAACGAAAAATACACCATGATCAAAATATAACCTATAGTCACAACTATAACCTGTTAAAAATCAAAATAGACTTAATTTTGCTGATACTAAGCAAACTCCTAGATATAATTATCGAAAAGAGCATCATATCATTAACCTCTACATTTTTAAAGCGTGTTTACTACAGTTATAAAAATAAAATACTTTTTTCCTGTATTTCCGAGGATTTCATTATTACATTTTCCAAAAATTATAAGTATCATCCCCCATAAATTTATATCCGAAAATACTTTCGATAAAAATGCACCGAATTGAAAATTTCATACTTTCATTTGGAGAGTTAAGATTGATATTGTTTTAATTTTCGATCTATAAACATATTTTCTTAAAAAAAACCTTCTTCTATCTGGATAGAACTCAAATCTATATCAACTGCAGAATAAATCCGAGCTAAAAATAATTAATATATATAAAAATTCATAAAATCAATACAATATTTAACATTGTTAATATATATGATTTTGGTAGTTCTTAACATTAATGTATATATATATATATATATATATATATATTACACTTGCTAATTATTATTTATACGAATTAAAATATATAAATAATATATTTTGTTATATTTAAGAAATGAGAAGACTGTTTTGTACATAAAAGCCAACTTCTAGATAAACTTATTCGTATCATAATAAACATAAAAATAAATTCAGTACAAAACCACATATTTATAAGTTATACATAAAATATTTATAAGTGGTTGATGCTGCTCTTTTAAAGATACATCTAAATATAATTATAGATTTTTTATAGTGTCAAAAATATAAGTAATTTTAGTTTTGTAACTTTAACCAAGAAAAAATTCAAATTATAATAAAAAGAAATAAACTTCTATTCAAAGTAATCGGAATCTATAGATAAAATATCTATTTTTCTACTACAATAAAATAATTCAATGAGCTGATTATGGGAGTCTAAATCTAATTCCTTATTATACATGTAAAATAACAAATTTTTCTAATGCCAATCAATGGATAGTAATCATTTAAAATAAATAACAAAGCTCACTTAGTATTTACAACTTATTAAAATTATTTTTAAATAAAATATATTTATTTTTTTACAACTCTTAAACAGTAAATATTCACGATTATATGTATAACAATTATTATTATTACATCAAAGCACTCTTACTTATTTGCTTTAAAGCTTAATAATTTATAATTGATAATTGATATTAGAAATACATATATTATATACATTATATTAATATTAAAATACTTTACTTTTATTAAAAGAATTTGTTATCAAATTTATTTATATTTACTAAATTTTTAATTAATTACTATTTTTTATTCATATTTATTATATTTGTTATATTATAATTAATTAAATTATTTTATCGTTACGCATAAATAAAATGTATTTTCGAAACATATTTTTAAGAAATTATTGATTCTTTAATGGAAAACAGACTGAAATAGACATTGTGTTTTGTTTTACAACTATATTTACATATTATGCATGTTTATATATAATAATTGATTTTATTAATAATGCTAATTGTAAAATTTAATATAAGTGTTTTGACATAAAAGTATGTATATTTTTATTTAAAGCGTATTATAATTCGCGGGCTTTCATTAGTTTCTATATTATGTTTTATATTAAGCAAATTAAATTATTCTAAATATTGGATAAGATGAATAGCCGTACACGTGATTTAAAAATATATAAATAGTTAAATTACATATCAATATTAAGTAATTGTAGCATGATTTTAATTAAAATGCTTACAAAATTATTTTTCAACGTTAAACGATTTACAATTCTATGTTAGTTTCAATAAAAGAAAAAATTCAATATTTTGTACACATTACAAAACTGAAAATATAAATAGAAAATGAGTGGAAAAACACATACATCAGGTATAAGAAAGTATTGTGTATGTAAGAATTAAATAACATTAAATGGTAATTTCAATTTTTTAAGGTGTTGTTGATCCAGTACAGGAAGAATTAGCAGGTAGAGTACGGGAAGTAGGAAATCATGCAATTTGGAGTTTATCAAGTTGTAAACCAGGTTTTGGTGTTGACCAACTTAGAGATGATATTACAGAAACATATTGGCAATCTGATGGACAATTACCTCATCTTGTAAATATTCAATTTCGTAGAAAAACAACAATTCGTGATATTTGCATTTATACAGATTATAAGCTTGATGAAAGTTATACCCCAAGTAGGTAAATGCCTTTATATGTAATTTAACTTAAAATTTTTATTCTGTTAAATAATTATATTTTTTAATCTTTATAATTACATCTTTAATATAATTTTTTTCAGAATTAGCGTTAGAGCTGGAACAAATTTTAATGATTTACAGGAGGTTGAAGTCATGGATCTAAGTGAACCGAGTGGTTGGGTAGTAATACCAATAAGAGATGATAGTGAAAGACCAATTAGAACATTTATGATTCAAGTTGCAGTCATTAGTAATCATCAAAATGGACGAGATACTCATATGAGACAAATAAAAGTACATAGTCCAGCTGAAGATATTCTTGGACCACACTCCCAGTTAATTCCTGGACATTTTCTTACAAATGAATTTCAAAGATATGCTATAATAAGATAGAATTTATAATAAAATATATTTACGTAATATTTTCTAATATAATTTATTAATTAATATTAGAACTATTTTGTACTATATAAAATAAAGTATTATAAGGATATTTAATAAATTTCAAAATTTCTTATAATGCTTGTCAAATAAATAATTAAGTTATAACTAAAACTATAATGTAAATAGAGAATCATCTAATAGCACATAATATGTACACATTTTACAAGGCATTATTAATAAACTTCAATTTAATATAATATTACGGATAATAATATGTATATTTTTGTTAGAAGTTTCAAACCAAATTTAAACAAAATCATACAGCAAATAACTTTTTCAGTAACTATTGCATAAACATAGCTATATTATAAAATATTTATATAATTTAAGTTTGAAGGACTTGTAAGACACTCTTAAGAAATACAAAATTATCAAAAACGATAAAAATCATAATTAATCAAAAATTAATCAATATATAAACATTGGATTAAAACAATTACTCATTTTTAATTATAAACAAAATATATACATTTCATATTTAAAAAACAGGTATTTTGTATTTGATTATAAATATATTCTTTTGTAATCGTAACTATAATTATGTACAAGAAATTTTTTAATTAATATTTGAATTTATATCATGTCAGTTCTTTGTAAGAAAATTTGTAATTACATTTTAATTAGCACTTTCATTATAGAATTAAGAAAAGTATTTTTTTTAATTTTTTTAAAAATAAAATAAAATGTATTTTAAATATTTAAATCTTTAATACAATAGAAAATTTCTAGAAACTTTAAAATCATAATGTCAATGAATGGCTATTACTTTTTTGCTGCAAACATTGTCTATTATCAAATACATTTCTAATCTAAATTATTGTTGGTTGTATTAAATAAAATTAAATATTTTTAAAAAATACATTTTCTAAAAATTTTCAGTGTTTGTTTTTTTTTTAATTTAAATACAGATAAATAAATAGTAAGAAGTAAACACATATTTTTGGACTTCAGTAACAAATTTGTTAATTTCTATAATAATTTTAAGATTGACATTTTGGTAAAAATAACGAAAACTTTATACAAAAGTTGAATATTGTTCGGAATTGGAGCATTTTTTTCGAAGCCTTCGGTTCTCGGACCTTTCCACCAGGCCTTCTAGCCCTCGAATGATTACATTTGCTTTCGCCGAATTCTCGACTAGGCCAAAGCTTAGATTCTCGAATCTCCTACAAGGCTGCTTCGCTTTCACATAGCAGGGCCAATTTAATTCTCAAATCTTCCAAGACTTTACTTTCGCCGAATTTTCGAATAGCATTGTTGGCAGTTTTTAGCTACCGCGCTGATACTTAAGGAAGCACGCATAAAAACTCCAGGTAGTTATCACTCAGTACATAGTGCCAGTTATTCTTCAGAGTTAGTCACTTGTCCTAGCCACGCCATTAAAAGGAGTCTACAACAGAGAGAAAGTCACGCAGCCCACGTTTCTCAGTGCAGCCATTGCAAGGAACATACGTTCAATTCTCCAGTGCACAATGGTTAACAACCAATCAAGGGCTGTCTGCAGTTCTAGAAAATGGTTGACTACACATAGCATAGTATCGAACCCTTCTATACTCGAAGGTATACAATCAGTCTTTAATGAGAATAGCTACCACATAAACATTCTCATACTCCCTTTATGAGTATGGTCGGCTCTTGCTAACCTTTACAACGTTAGCACAGACTACAAAACAAACCATATTCCCCTTCACCGAATATACAAAATCCATTGGTGATCCCCATAACGTGATCGACGACAATGGTCACCATCACTAAGTAGCAACTACATAATTGTGATAGAACATAATTCACTCTCTATCACGAGAAGACAATAGTGTAATTGTCAATAAAACCAAATAAATAGCGTTTTAACGCACTTTACACAAACTGTACATATTTTAAAACTCTTCCACCTATGTCCTTTCCTAAGCATCGCTAAGGCGGGAAATAAATAAATAAATGATTGAACTTGGCAGTTCGAGCCAGAAAATTAAATACATTAATATTACCGGATCAAGTACACAAACTTTCAAACACAATTACATATAAATCTTAATCTATTTTCTATGAAATAATCTTAATGCTAATAATTTTATATTTTTGTGAGAATGTGTATTAATTATCAAATTCTTATATTAATATCTAATATTAGTAGTATTGATGATCAAATTTTCACAATATAATTTTTAAATTAAAAAAAAATACGAAAATTTAAGATTCGAGAATTAAATCAATATAAATAAAAATACAGGAAAATTGTTATCAATATTAAAAATAGGACTCAGTGGCAAAGTTTCATGTACTTTCACAATTTTTTATTAAATACCAAAATAATTTACAAACAAAATAATAAATAATAAAGAGATTCTTCATTTGTATATAACATGTATACATAATTTACATATACCTTATGTATTACTAAATATCACAAATTCCGAGAATATTTCAAGCCCACTAACGTAAATATGTGGCGAAATGCCATAGTATATCTTAAATGTAATCATTATTATTTTTTAGTAAATATTTTATTCATTGTCTTAAGAATATTGTTAAATATATATTTTAATAATAAAATTTAAATATTTAACATACATACATAAAAGAGTAATTTAATCATTTTTATATTTCGTATTCTCATTTTTTAATGTTAAGGTATGAACAATGTTTTATTGAATATTTTTAAATAATTTACCAATTTTATAGTCATTTAATTTTCAAATAAGCTTCAAATATGAATTAATGAAATTTACAAAATAATAAAAAATTAATGTTTAATAAAGTTTTATGTAACTTTTAAAGAAATATTTTATATAGCTTGTCTGAAAATTGAATACATTATTAATAATAAACTAGTCAACCTTTTAACTTATAATTAAATATATATCTAAATAACTTTCAAATAATAAATAACACAATCTAAGTCATGAATAATAAATTTTTTTTTTTAAACATTAAATATTGTATATTATAGATTTCCAAGATCAAGGAATCATGTAAGCATCATTAACAATTACCAATATTATATCGTTACAGCACATCTCAGATATTAAATGCTAATAGTATGATAAGCACTTTGGGGTAATATTGTGAAATATCATTTACCACATGCAACATTTTCTAAATTAAATAAATTGACACTAGCCAACAATTGTGTATGGATGCTAAAAAGTCTCAGGAATATAGAAAATTGCTTAAAATTACTCAAAATAAAGACTATTCCTTTTTAGACGATTTAGAGAATTATTTTTTTAGACGAAGACATGGTAATAATAGTATATCATTGCTGACAGTAGAATATATAGATATTTAATTGTAAATAAAATAATGCTGTCCATGCATATATATATATGTATTATATACGCTACAAGTATAATATTTTTTATATTATACTGGTTATATTATTTTTATATACAATAGAAACGTACTAGTTTAAAAAAATATAAAAAAAAAAACAAAAAAAGTAAATGTAAAAACACGAGAAAAAGTTTTTTAAATTTAAATATTTTATAAATATTCATTTTCCTTACAATTAATTCCTTTTACTTCATGGAGAAATTTTGTCAATTGAATATTTAAATGTCTTTGCTTAATGAATCATGTTGTAAATTAAATTGCAATATGATTTAAAATACAATTAATTTATCATTTTTTTATACTATATATTACAATTAAAATTTCATTTGATATAATTTTTATATAAAAATTACTCGAAATATATTATACCTTTTTATGAAAAGATTCTATCTGTGATATTAGTTTTGAAAATAATATTTTTTTAATTCTTTTTTCATAAGTGATTAAAAATTTGGTGTGCATCAATACATAATCAGTATTTTTATCAAATATTTCAATATAGATATATGTCTCCTTCACAACTGCATGAACAATATAATTTGTACTTATAATAGTTTCATAAAATTGTTTTTTTTTTCATAGGAAATAGTATAAATTGTAGCTATATATAATATTTATTAAATGTATGATAATCATTTCTTTTTGTATAAAATCAATAATTTTCCTTTTAATGTTTTGTAATTTAAAATGTACATATTATAGTTACAATAAGACTTATTCCAGCATTGTATTTTATTACTTTAATTCATTTTATTTTAATTTTTATTTGTATATTACATTTTAATAATTCATAATTCACAGGTATTGTATATTAATTTCTTTCAATAATGTGATCACACATATTAAGTAGACTTGATGCATCAAGATAATATTTAGTAGTACTAGCTAATGTTCTACTATTATAAAGTATCTAATACTACTATGATAAACTGCTATTCCATTTATTATCACTGGCATATTTTGATTTGAATTCACTAATATCCTTATATAATTAACAAAGTATACAATTTATTTTTAAAAATTAAGAACAAAATATTCAAGTTTCATTTATTTTTTATTTACTTATTTGTCTTAAAACTATTGTTTACGAATTATATCTAATTCTATTTTATTACAATAAATAAAAAAAATAGATATATTTATATATATATTATTTAAGTACAAAGTTTTTATAATTAATATAAAAAAATTATTATAAATAATAATACTAACGTTTTCCTATTTTAATCTGAAATCGGTAAATAAGAACTTGCATTAATAATGCAGGGTGGTATGAATTTAACAAATTGTATAGTATTTTTTACATTGATATAAGTTGATGAAATAGTAATCAGTATTCCTGATACTATTATGCTATAGCCAAATGAGTCAATTAACTTCTGAAGAGTACAAGATTTTCCCAATTTAGTTATTTTTATATTTGATATTACATTCTCTTTTCTGTAAAAAGTGCATGTATTGATACAATAAAGAATATTAAAAAATAAATACTTTTATCCATAGTTAAAATAATTATATTAATATTCATATTGGTATATTAACATGTTATTGTTATTATATTCAAATATCACCTTAATCTATTAAATAATGATTGGTTCTGATCTATCAAAATGGACAGTCCTTTACTTCTAACAGGTTTGAAATTCTCAATTGAAAACCTTTGTAAATAAGTATCTACATTTAATGAGTTTTCTTGATTATCATATGGATTCATCCTTGTATTATCAATGCCTCCAGAATAAGGAAAAGAATATTTTTTATAACTATTTTCTTCAGTATCACAAAAAGAAAAATGGGTGGACCTAAATAAAAATAATTTTTTTTAACGAACAAGTTCTTGATTAATAGCAATTTTTAATTGATAATATATTTTTGCTTATTTAGAAGTTCAGAAAAATAAGCTTTTTAATTGAAAATCTTAGTACAAAAAGTATATTCCTACATGTGTACTACAAAAGTTGATGCATTTTTAGGATATAAACTTGAAAAAATAAAAACAGAGGATTAAAACATAATTTTTAATATATTGGCAAATAATGTCAATCTTGAAATAGATGATTAATATAATGATTATTATAATATATCATAATATAATAATTAATTAATTTTATACTTGTAGCGTAGTAAACCAATGTAGTACCAACCAAATTCTAATTCTGCTACAAACAGGTTATAAAATTTAGCGTTTAATTTAGTATTAATTTTTAATTTACAATACATACATATAAACATGTTTGAAAACATGCTTGTTAAAATACATAAATAATATTTAATTTTATTTATAAATAATTTAAATTAAAAAATCAAATATACTTAATATAAATCAATTCTTATACTAAACAAGTTGAAATATGCAAACAAAAAGAAATAAAGTGAAAATATATTACCTAGAATATACAAATGGATTAATAGCAATTTCCTTTGCACTGATTGGACATTTTTCCCATTTTGAAAGTTGCAATTCAGGTACAGGCAAACATACCAATCTTCTTATGCACAGTGCTTTAAGCTTTAAATATATAAGTGGTGGTAGAACGAAGATCAGTGGACCAGTAAGAGTACCTCCAATTAATGACATCACGATATCAAATCGTGGCACTGATTCACCCAATGCCACACCAAAGATCACCACCGCTGAACGTATCGCACATCGTTTCCATCCAAATGCTATTTTAATATAAGTAATTCAAAATTTTATATTTTTGTAATACTCAACTAATATTTTAGCTGAATTTAATTAATTCAAAATAAATATGAACTTATTCTCCCAGTTTACTGGTGGGAGAAAAGTGTAGATAAGTGGGAGGGGTAGCGTATTAATTTAATATTTAACATATCTGCTTTTCGTGCTGTTTATTGTTTTACTTTACAAACTACACAATAATTATTCTAGGTTGGTGATGAGAATCGTCGAGATCTTGTAGTTCCGTGGTGGTTGCCACGTAGTATTAGCATACACTACATGCAGAGGTAGGAGGTCGTAAATCTCTTGATACTTCTTCGTGTAGTGCCACGTGGTGGTAACTTAATTATGCTCTCCACCTTGAGAAAATGCGCATTGAGGCTTGATTCTTGAAGTCAACTATGGACAGTGATACGATGGCTATGGCTCTTAGTATAACAAGTACGAGTTGGCACTAAATCCTTGAAGTCTTCCCAAAAAAAGGTGGCTATGGCACCTTGAGCTGCTATACGGTGGCACAAAAAACTTGACTGTCGACTCTCCCGAGGGAGCTTTCCTTGACTTCAGCTTGAGTGAGTACGTTTATCCTCCACGACGTCCCTTGTAAGAGAACTTCTTCTTTCCTGGATGACCCACTAGTGAGTAGTGAGTAGTGAGTCTTGTGGCCGTCTCCCTTAAATGCATTCCGCTAACCATGGCGTCCATTTAAGGAACGCCTATTTCCTTGGCGTCTTCAATCAGAGCACCTCTAGCTTCGGCATCTCTACTTGGAGCGTCCCTAGCGGCTGCGTCTTTAATTAGAGAGAGTAGTCTACTCATGGCGTTCCCGCCAAGAGAGAACTTTGATTAAAGCGCCCTCGCTTGGATGGGCAAGCGACAGTATAACTAGACTTGACTATTTCCAGATATCTAATGACCTGGGTTTTCCAGATGATTAAAGACTTGGGAAGGATTCTCGCAATTACGAACAATGTGCAATATGCTATTTATATAGTTAAGTATAATTAAAAGTTTATTTATATTAATTAGAATTGTAAGTAAAATGAACTTTAAAATAAACAATAAAATTAATGTTTATTCTATTTAAACTTAGATATACTGCTTCTAAGTATTTAATTTATTTATACATATTGTTATAAGTAACACAACTATTATTGAACTAAGTATTTTAGTCATTCGCTTTTTACTCAATCTTTTAATACTGACTATTCATTATAACTTTCATAAGATATGTTATTCTTTATTGAATATTTTTCTTTCATCATTTAAATATATCATGAATATTTATCTTTAATTATATATAATTGTAAGAAATGGTAAGCCCATAATGAAAAATTAAAAAATCATTAACATAAAAATGAAAACTTATATGTGCATGTGTATCACTTAAATATAAAGTAATAAGATATGCAATTGCAAGAGAAAAAAAGATATTTAGCCGCATTACTCAATACTAATATATTATTTATTCAATATTTATTTCTCCAACAGTATATAACTGTACCTTCATCAGAAAAAAGGAATCATTTTTTAATTTGAATAAATCTTGAACTTTTCAATTTAACTGTATATTTACATATTTGTGTAATTGATAATTGGTTAAAAAAAAATTTGTTCATTTCTATTTACTAAATAATTTACTTAGACAATGATTTCTCTAGAATTTACTTTCACTCATAAGTGTATGTTCACATTAAACATAATAAACCTGAATAAGCAAAAATCGATTATACCCAATAAAAATCTTGTCAATTGGATTTTATCAATATAATTAAGCTAATATCTACCAGTATATATTCTGGTTAGAAGCATTTCACTAGGATAAAGAGAAATTTGAAGTTGATACATATAAGTAAAATATGTTTTTTACATTAAACACATAGAAGCATATATATTTAATAATGTGTCACAAATATGTAACAAATCTTCGTTAACATCTGCGAAATAAAATAAAATAATGTTCACTTAAATTTATTAAATATAATATTATTTCAGCTACCCTTGTCAAAATACACAACATTTAAATATAAAACATCTTCATATAACTTACTTTATTTAATTAAATTATTTGACCAGTTATATTTCCTAAATAAAAAAAATATAAGACAATATTTGACTATACGCAATTATAAACTTGAAGCAAATTCATATAAAATTGATTTATGTTTCATCGAAAATGCATGTACTTATATTTTATTGTTTCTTTAAATATTTTGAGATTAATGTTATATTTCAAACTAATTATATTATTTTCATTATTTTTAAATTTCTACATACTTCTTTTAATGTGTAATTGATCCTCAAGATGTTGGAAAAGCGCAGAATGACCAATAACACTTGACAGACAAAGTTGTAAAGAAGCTAGTAAAATAGCAGCATGTATTATTTCTCCTGGAGGCAATAATTGAAATAAATTTGCAGTTATACTACCACCATATCGCCAAACGCTTAATCCTGCTGTTATCATAAATAACGAACCGCTCACTTAAAATAAAAATAAATAAAAGCAAAGGATTGTATTAAATTACAAAACACCAAATTTAATTTATTCTTAATAATGATTCTTCATTAGTAAAAGATATTCACAAATACAATATTTGTTTTAAAATAATACATTTTGATTCAAATATTTTCTCCAATGAATATATGATTGGATGAATAATCTTAATTATCAACACATAATAAATTATTAATTGATAAGTAATTAATAATATAATAAGTAAAATGGAACCTACTTATAAATGAAAATATTACTGCTTTATTAATGTCCTTAATATTATTCATATCCACTTGAACTGTCATCAGTGTTGGGTGAACATCAAATTGAAATGCCAGCATGCCATATCTTAAATAATTGTTTAAATATTACTTCAACAATTATTATAAATGTATAAATAAATACAAATGAAATGTAATACAATTAATGTTAATATTGTTATTATAAGTAATAAATATCAGCAAGCATTCCATAAAGTTATGTTCAGAATATTCATAGTTTTTAATTTAATTAACAAAGCATTATTTTGTTTTATGCATGTAAATAGTTTTTAATAAAACTTAATATAAAACGATTTGGTATATTATATAAATCGTTACAATTAATAAAAATTGAATTTTATTTACTTTAAAAAATACTTTATTATATAAATTATGTTTCCATACCCAGAGATGAATTTTTCCCATGAAGGAGTTGTAGGTATGGGTAAAATATTTATATATCTTTCATCAGCTATTATACACCACCAAATAAGTAGAGCTGTGATTGAGATAGCTAATGTTGACAATATAACAACTAACCTAGTAAGCAAATGTTTTTCTAAAATAATGTTAATAATATTGGTTATAATTATACTAATTGTCATTATAAAATCTTAATTCATTGCTATTACAAATTTTCATAGGAAAAAATTCAAAATATTTGCAGAATAAGTTTTGTAAAAATCAATTAATTAATATATAGAGTTGTTTTTACTTAATGTTATTAATGTACAGTGAAACAATAAATTAAGCATCTTGATTTATATTAGTCAAATTATATCACGTTACCTAGTCGTTGAGAATTTCAATAATACAGAGCCAAAGTAATATAGGCAAAAATATAATATAAACGATATAAATATTACATATATTAAAATATATGCATTGAAGGTTTTATTAAATAAACACTAATTTGTTTTATTTTCTTTATTCTAACATTACTATAAATAAATCAGTTATTGTCCATCTCCAACTGCATTTACCGTAAGTATTAAATAAACGATTCAGGAGGATCATTAAAACCATTTTTTGTAAAAACCATTGTAATCAGTCTATCTTCTATATTGGCGTCTTAGTTATTTAACTTTATTACTAATTATGATTAAATTTTTATTCTTAAAAGAATAAAATAAGAACATCATAATTATAAAACAAATTAAATACAATATCTACTTATTGTTGAAATATAGAATTTATTTAAATTTTTCAGGTTATTTAATGGATTCTGCTTACATTAGAATAGTTTTTTAATCTTAGATTAAAATTCTATTAAATCTAATTTCTATTAAAAAATTAATTCATTGTAATTTATATTGTAAAAATTAATTTATTGTTTCATGGATTTAGAAGATGGGTTAAATATAGATCTAAACTGAGAAACACCCATCTGTGAATACAAAATACAGTTTATGTATACAAAAGAATTATAATAATGCTAACAGGAATTCGATAATATGAAAATTCTCATCATATAAACCAATTCTGAGGTATTTTAGTGTATTAACATTATGATAATCAATAGATTCATTAAAAACTGGATTTTTACATAATGGTATTTTATTATTGATTTATATATAATTTATTTATTTAAACTAATTTTGTATATGTAAATGAATAAATGTTTCGTTTTTTAGTTTTATTACAAATGAGAAAAAACATGGATATTTTGTAAAATTAAAAACAATAAAACATTCTACCTTTTCGGTATAAATTTTGAATTGTCACTACTTATTTCATAATTGTAAATCCAGCATTCAGTTCCTTCCAATTATCAAGGAAATAACATAGCAATCAACTATTTTTATTGTAAAACTTGTACCTATATTACATACAGTATAATAATAATTTGTTGTAAAACTTCTACTTGTAAAATGATCAGATAGTAATACTCAACTTTACAATATAACATATATCTACATGTAAATATAACATGAATATTTAATAATTATTTATCCTCCATTTATAAAAATTGACTTAATTGTTAATGGTTTGGCAAATATATCATAATGAAATGTAAGATTTAATTATTTATTCTAGTTTACAATACAGATATTTACTATATAATAAACTTTAAATATAATTAATAACTATAAAATAGAAAGACTAAATATTATATAAAATTAAGTGAATAAACCAACATTTGCAATGCCGAGTATTGCATTTTTGCATGTACTAATAGTATCGTAGAATAAAAGGTGACCCTATAGTAATAAATATACGTAGTATTGAAAATATGAATTGGCACACTAGAAACACGATCTTAACTTTTATGGAATTATCCTTTCTGAAAAACAGTTATTAAAATACTTAATTTCATAATATAATATAATAGTTAAAAATTTATAATTAAAAAAAAAACAATAACAATAATACCAGGTTATCTGTCATACTATCTTATTATAATATTAGTTTATAAAAAATGTATAACACGAACAGGAATCATAGTTACGGCGATATACAATTTTCTAAGATAATTTTATTAGATAACTAAATAATTTTATTGATCGATACAACCCATATTCTATGTTAACAATGAAGATAGGCACAAGATAATCTGACTAAATAGGAATATTAAATTGAACCTATTGAAAATGCAGTTAACTAAATCTAAATAAAAAATAATTTCAATTTTTAAATCTATATACAGGTCACTCGAAAAAAGATAAATATTAACACTTTGTATTTTATTTACATTTCTACAAAAACACTCGTAATAAATTGGATCGGATTTAATTTATGTATTTATTACGATTAGTTTGTTTACTAACTTGTGTTAAATTTATTATAATTTAATTAATAATTTAATAGTAAAAAAATTTTTTTAAATATTTAATAAAATGCAAAACAATATAATGGCATCTATAAATACAACGTATAATAATATTCGTAAAAAAGTTTATTTAGAAAAAAAACATTTTAAAGATATATTTTTATATACTCATTACGAAATTGCATACTTTTATTTTCTTGGGCTTATACGTATGTGTGTAGAAGGGTACCCACCTTTTATTTCGATATATTAAATATTATTAGTCTTTGAATAATTCTTTATTAATACTAATTATATGTTAAAACATATATAACAATAATATATATACAGTACAAAATCATCTGGATTTAAAAATAGAAAAAAATACTTACTTCATATTTCGCGGACTTCCAAGCCACATTACTGGACATAACAATAAACCAATAATAAAAAGCCAGTAACAGAAAGATAAATTGAATTCATTATGTGACATTTTTAATCCAAAAAGTTGTATATTTTGCGATGCTAACCAGATAATATGAAATAAATAAATAAATAACAATAAATTAATTGTAATTACTACTTACTATTTCTAATAATTTTTATTAAATAGAATAAATAATAATAACAAATTCATTTATACAAATATATTGAATATCGTACATCTGTTAAAAAAGAGGTCTAAAATATATTTATTATGTAAATGATTAGTATTATGTGTTCGAAAAAATTCAGCGCTTAAAATCCGATAGCAATTTCTTTTTATTGAATTAAAAAAAAAAAAAAAAATAACGGAAACTCAAACTAAAGTAGGGTTAATGGAATAATATCTGTAAGATAGCAAAACATACTCTCGATATCTTTAAATGTAAAAATGGAAATTTAAACTAAAAATATTTTACTGCATTTATATATGCACACGTACACGACAAATGATATAATTAATCAAAATGTTGAGTAATATGGTAAGATTTCTCAAATAATTTATTTTAACATTTTAAAAAGATTACTGCTTCAACAATTATGACAAAAATTAATATTGATAAATTTTATTACTTCCACTTTTTTATATACGAGTTTTTTAATTAGTTAATTTTAAATGGATAAACAAAATAATTATATATTATTTTTATAAATTTTTTCGTATATTTTAATATAAACTCATTATTTATTTATTAATGAATGATTGTTAGAATATAAATGTTTTTGTTAATAAAATATTATGTTATACGTTTAATCGTATTTTTAATTATAATTAATCATGTTAAACTTAAATTAAAAAAATTTTTAATAAAAAAAAAATAATTGAACGAATTAAAATACACTGCTACAAAAATATTTTCTGATCGAAACTAAATACTGCAAAGAAAGCGATAATTAGTACGATCGAATTTTGGTTCGTAACACTGAAAGTGAAGCACTTTTTCAATTTTCATTGTTATTTTAATAAATTTATAAATGTATTTTATAACCTTAATTTATATAGACTAAATTGAAAGGACTAGAGGTCTGCTTATATAAGCGTTTAATATTTGAATTAAAAATGAATCAATGAATTATATAATATAATAACAAATAAAGTTAAATAAAGAATACTACATATTTATAAAAAGTATTAACTTACATACCTACTAATAAATTAGGTATACCACCTCCAAAAACAGTTAAATCTAACAATATAGAAACAAATAAACTTGTCCATCGACCTAATGTTAATTCAGTTAAAGCTGATAATGGGTATCTATGTACAAATAATAAATTATCATAGATATTTTTTGTATATATGAAATATAAATATGTAAAGTTTCAATTTTATCATTTTATATTTTGTTAATGAAATTTTAATACATATATTTATTAATGAAAATTCTACAATAAAATAGCCAAACTGAAGAGGTCAAGTATATAAAAAAGTATACTTGGTTAAACGAATTATATACAGTCCACTCTCTGATTAATAATATAAAAATAATAATGTTAATAGCGTCATCAAATAATACTCACATGCTACTATTTATTATTTATCATTTGTTAATTTATAAATAATTATGAAATCAATTCAAACATTGAATGTATTATTTCATTTTTTTAATTATATCAGATAGTCTAAAGCACAATAATAATAAAAAAATGTATGTTATTAATTTATGTTTAATTTTTATTATTAATTTATTAATTTATATTGTTTCATATTTAAAAAGAAGTATATATATTTATTATTAGAAAATAATTTTGATGTATTTATTTTCTAACATATAAAAATTATCATTAAATATTCAAATAAAAATTAAATGTGATTAAGAATTACTATTCACAAAATATTTCGTGTATAAATCTATAATCTTCGGTTATTATGATATAGCATGATATATTAAATATCGAAATAATTTCAGAAACATTTTAAATATTTTAATCAATAGAATATATGTAACAAAGGTTCTATTCTATTCATTGGAAAAATTTTCATTTAATGATATAGAACTATTAAATTATATGCAATATAGTGTATTATCAAGTAGTATTATAGTAAACTTACGATTTATTAATTAATTTCATTTTGTATACAATTATTACATTTTTATATTTATACAATTTTTACATTTTGTATAAAAAGGCTTTTTCTAAATGATAATCGCTGAATTAATAAAATAGCATTACTATTTATTAATAATATTTATTAGTGAATTGATAATAAAATCTAAAAATCTAAAAATATGAGACATAGTAATGTACCGATGACTGATTTTTAAGCTAAAAGAAGGAAAATAAATAAATTTGTTTATAACTATACTTGATAAAATCTGAGAACATAGTTAAAGGTATGTTTTTCAGAAAAAATTGATTATGCAGTTATTTTCTAGTAGAAATATATTGATTTTTAATCTTCAATTATTATTTTTGTTTTAATTCCAATCAAATAATTTTTATTGTATATAGATATTTCACTCTTATATTCCAGGATACAATTTTAAAAATAATAAAGAAAAAATAAAATTTTTTAAATTTTATTTTTATAAGTGAATAGGAAAATGAACAGATATAATCATACAAAATTTAACATTATTTATTAGATATAAAGATTAATTTATATTATTAATTAATTTTATAGAAGCATTTTGACTATCATATTGTAAAAATATTTTGTTAAATATCCGATATAATTTGAAAATTTTTGTTCAATTTTTAATTTTTTAATGTAATTAAAAATTGTTTTATTTGAGCCTCTCTTTAAGATTTTTTTAATATGTCATATATATAAAAATTTTTAAAAATGATTTGATAAAACTTGCCGATTTTTTTTCAAAATACATGGATCTAGAGTTACAGCTAGATTCCATGATTTTCCCAATAATGCTGCTGTATAAATTTGAAATCCGAAAACAATTAATACTAATGGAATCCCCAGCCAACCTAAAGAAACAATTATAAAGTAATACATGTCTAACTTAAAAAGAATTTATATTTGATTCACATGCATCTACAAAGAATTAAATGTTAATTTTATACGTAAATTTTTTTTAATAATGATTAATTATCTATTAATGGTGAATAATACACATCAATTTTTCAAATAAATTATACAAAATAAAATTTAAAATATCATACAGAATTAATTAGGCTGTTCATTGTACTAAAACTATTTTATCTTCTAAATGTAATTGAACAAGAGTAACATTTCTCTATATTAAAATTTCTTACCACATTGAACAATACTTTTAGGAAGAGCAATGATAGGAAATACTCCGAAGATATCAACTATGCATAACGTAGCAAAAAACAAAGAAAGGCCTGATTCGCTTTTCTGCAGCAATGGAATATTGTCACGATTCATATTATAAGTCGATTATGAATACACACGACTAGTATATCATGAAACCTCGAAGTCTGGCTTATTTTCTCTGTAATGCGATATTATGGATAATGTTTCTAGTTGGTTAAAAAAAGGCAAGATTACGATAGGTGTTCTAATATGAAGACCTGCAAATACGTAATTCTAGAAAGTCACTTTTTCTTTTTTTTCAATTGGCTTTCAAATATAGTGCGCATTTTTTATATATTCTTTTACATGAATTTCTTATAAATTGACAGTAGTTATTAAGTTTGGTTCAATATATGTATTATTTTATTAAATTTACATTTTATTTACATTGTATAAAGTTTTATATTATTTTCTTATCGTTTATTTATAAAGTACATTTTGATATGATCAATATATTTATGTATATTTTTTTTTTTCATTTCAATGTACTTTAAAAGTAACAAAATATTTTCCACTGTAAATAAAATATAAAATTAAAATAGATATAAATATAAATCATATTTATAATATAGCTATAAACATGTTATAACATAATAAAACACATAATAAATTTCTAGAAAATAATATTTATGATTTTAAATTTAAATCCACTATAATGGTAACTATTTATTACATTATACTTTTATTTATAGGATAAACGATAGTAATTTTGGAAGAAAAATAAAAAATATAAATATAAATAAATTGCTTATACTTGCATACTTTCAACTAAATTATATAATATTTGCTTTTATATAAATTTAACTTCTTAATAGTAATAATTTATTAAAAAGTAAATTAATTTCATATCATTCAAAACAGTTTTTATATTTATAATTTAAGTTTCAACATAAATGTTAAAAGAGATGCAATTAAATTAAATGGTTATTTCAAAAATCCATTTTGATTTTCTTTTTAACATTATATTAATATTTGCAAATATATTTTGCAACTAAAAAAGAAAAATATGGCTAAAATTGTATAACATTGGTAAAAACTAAAAAAAAAACACCATTAAAATATAATTTCTTATATTAAGCAAATATATTTAAATAAGTTCTATTCTTTATTAAATACAGTATTATTTTTTCTAATTTGATATAACTCAGAAAAAATTAAAAATGTACAAAGTTCTATCATTTTTAATTTTACATAAGAGAGTTTAAATCTAGCGTAGTAATATTTCATGAACTTCTTCAATATTAGAGATAAAAATTCATCATAATGAAAACTGTAAAATTAAATAAATTGTTGATATAGTTCTGTCAATTTTTTTTATTAATGAATTGATAGCAATCTATTATTTCTTTAATTATCATCAGTTTCGTAAGTTGGTGAGGCCGCTGAATAAGTTGGACTCGTTGGAGAGTATCCAGGCACTTGTGGAGAGTAAGCTGGACTTGTTGGTGAATAACTTGGACTTGTTGGTGAGTAACTATGACTCGTTGGTGAATATGTTGGGCTAGTTGGTGAGTACTTGGTACTGGTTGGAGAGTAAGTTGGACTTGTTGGTGAATAATTAGGACTACTAGGAGAATATTTAGTACTACCACCGCTATGTTGAGGTGAGCTGGGTGAATAACTGGGGCTAGTAGGTGAATAAGTTGGGCTTGTAGGTGAGTATGTTGGACTTGCAGGGGTATATTGGGGTGATGTTCCGGCAAATGAAGGTGAAGTAGGAGAATAGCTGGGGCTAGTTGGTGAGTACTTAGGTGAAGATGGAGAATAACTTGGAGAGGCTGGAGAATATTGAGGTGATGATGGTGAGTAAGAAGGTGAGGTAGGTGAATAAGATGGTGAGGCTGGTGTAAAGCTTGGACTAGTTGGTGAATAGCTTGGACTTGTTGGAGAATAACTTGGACTTGTTGGTGAGTAACTAGGACTTGTAGGGGAATAGCTTGGACTTGTTGGTGAATAACTTGGACTTGTTGGTGAATAACTGGGACTGGTAGGTGAATAACTTGGACTAGTTGGGGAATAACTTGGACTTGTTGGTGAATAGCTAGGACTTGTAGGGGAATAACTAGGACTTGTCGGTGAATAACTGGGACTAGTTGGGGAATAACTCGGACTAGTTGGAGAATAACTTGGACTGGTGGGTGAATAGCTTGGACTGGTTGGAGAATAGCTTGGACTTGTTGGTGAATAACTTGGACTTGTTGGTGAATAATTAGGACTGGTTGGTGAGTAAGTTGGACTTGTTGGCGAATAATTTGGACTTGATGGTGTCATGCTAGGAGAAGTGGGCAAATAAGCTGGAGAAGTTGGTGAATAGCTCGGTGAGGCTCCACCAGCAGGAGACATTGGATATGGGCTCATACTTGGACCTGGACTTCCAGGACTTCCAGGTTGTGGTGAATAAGCAGAATATGCTGGTGACAGTCCCGACGCATCAGATTGGCCAGAAGGTGAAAAGCAGGCTCCTCCAGGTGTCATGCCACTACCAATACTCGGCGACATACCTGCCGCTCCATAACTTGGTGTTGCGCCCAACCAAGGTGTCATTTGAGGACTCATACTTGGAGTTGTAGCATTTCCAAAGAACATACCGGTACCACCCATTATGTTTGCTCCTACAGCCATTGGTATCTCAATTCCTTGCTTACATTTTTCGGCATCGAGTAAAAGATCAAAGCAGCCTGTTCCGATACGTGGTAGTTGACCCATAATAATATTTTCAGAAACGCCTCTCATAGGATCAACTTCAGCATGAGAAGCTGCATCTAATAATACATCTACTGTCTCTTCAAATGAACATCTCATAAGTGCTCCTGTATCCTGTCTATTAATACCGTGACGTGTAATAGCCATAAGATGACCTTTGGCTGTCATAACATCACAAAGTAAGGCCAAATGTCGATAGTTCACGTAGAGACCATAAAATTGTAAAACAGCATTCATTTCTTTTTCTACAGATTTTCGCACGGCTTCGATACCTAACACTTGAAAGATTTCACAAATATCATTAGAAAAGGTTCTCACTGGATCCACATCTCGTTCACTGAGTACTTTCATTAAACTTGTGCCATCAGTTTCTAGCAACCACTCAGCAATAGCTTTAAACTCACCTGTTTCTGTAATAACTATTCTTTTCTTAGAGTCTGTCTGTGGTAAATGCATATACACCTTTCCAATGGCTTCAATACCCTGTAAAGTCATATCACTTAACATATTAGATTCAATACAACGCAAAAACATATCGTCTTCCATTTTGTCAACACTCTCCTCTATATCAGTTGTATCTGTAAATTTGTTATCTTCACTATTCATTATTCTAATTCGTAGTACAAGTTTTTCAGCATTGTCATCATTGAAAATACAATTCAAATCATCTCCAAAGCCTGCATTAATTTTTTCCGCAATTTGTTCCATAGTGAGTTTCTTATCAGTCATTCTTTTACGATCAAGCTCGATGCGAAGAAGCCATGGTGAAATCTTAGTTGGATCAAAGTCTGGCATCTCATAATAAACATTAACAAACTCCTGATCTTCTGAAATCACAGTATTTTGTGGATCTGGATCATAATATATTGCAGTATTTGCTGTCACTTTTTTCAAAGTTGTATGTTCAAGACGACATAAAACGTTTTTAGCTTTTTCGGCATCTCTTGCTGCAGCACCAGTTAAGAAGACTGTTAGAGAAGGAGCCTTTGGCTTTTTGCTAATATTAATTATTTCTTTTAGTCTTGGTACTCCCAGAGTTACATTCTTTGAGGATACGCCAGCAAAATGAAAAGTATTTAATGTCATTTGAGTAGCAGGCTCTCCAAGAGATTGGGCTGCTAAAGCACCTACCATTTCTCCTGGAGCACATTGAGCTTGCTGAAACCTAGTCTCGATTTCTCCTATAAGCCACTCAAAAGCTTCACTTGATAAACGAAATTCTTCAGAAACGCATTTAGTACAAAGAGTAGAACGTACAAGACATTGAAATAACAATGTAGCATTTTCATTAGCCTGTTTACTTAAACGATCCTCACCTGCTACGATTATACACTTTTCTAGAAGATCTTTTACACCTTGAATAACTCTCATTGGACTCAAATCCGTTGGTGCTCGTTTATTAATATGAAATATCTTCTGAACATTCCAAATCATACGTTGTAAGTTGCACGGTAGTACAACTTTTGATTCACCACTAGGAAAAATTTCTCGTAGTGCAGCTCTATCCTTATTTAGTTGTTCCCACTCACGTTCTAATTGAACAATAAAAATTTTTTAATAATTAATTGTTAATTATATGAAATATATATTATATATATAATTTTCATTATAATATATTTAAAATTTTATTTGAAATATATCTTGTGGTATTCAATTATTGTACCACTATATTTTCACATTAGAAACATTCAATAAAAGATTACAATATAATAAAATATAAAAAATATTTCATATAAAATATATTATTTAAAAAATAATTATAAGTAAATTCTGGTCATATAAAAATTCCTAAAAATTTAGTACATATATATACAATTATTTGTTGTTTATTGATTTGTAATTTATATGGTATTAATTTATAATAATTCTATTATGTAAATAAAATAAATACACTAAAATAATTTTTTTTCAATAAATAAATATTTAAGAATGTATAAGATTTCTAAAATTAATAATAAAAAATTTCAATTTTACAAAATTATAGAATTTAAAATAGTTTTATATATCAAAATATATAAATAAAAATCATTCTTATACCTAATTCGGATATGACTTCACCAGAACCCATCATTTCACGCACGATATCCTCGCTAAAAATGCGTCTCAAATACCTCTCATTGCTTGGATCAAACTTAAATTTTTTTTCAAACGCTTTATTGCTTAATTTAATGGTTGGTAAATTCTGAAATTCAACAGTTTCGCCACAAAGCCCATCTTCACCATAACGTAACTGAATAAGTTGGCCCACTGAGTTTCTTACTGTGCCATCATAGTGCACCATAACTGATTCCATTGCCTTTATGAGACGACGTTGAATATATCCAGTTTCTGCAGTTTTTACAGCAGTATCAATGAGACCCTCGCGACCTCCCATAGCATGGAAGTAAAATTCGGATGGAGTCAGACCCGCAAGATATGAATTCTCAACAAAGCCTCTAGATTCTGGACCATAATCATCTTTGATAAAATGTGGTAGAGTACGTTTGCGAAAACCAAAAGGTATGCGCTTCCCTTCGACGTTTTGTTGCCCGACACAGGCAATAACCTGGGATATATTAATATTGGATCCTTTAGAACCTATAATTAAATAATAAATTCGATATTTTGTACTTGATTTTCAAGGTAAATTCACAGAAAATACGAATAAATATTTATTTATATGATTTTTATATTACGATTATTTTATTGTGTAACAAATTTTTAGATAATGGATAGAAATAGATATTTAATTCCTTATTAAGCTATCACTATTTTACTATGTACAGCTATATCTATTTTAAAAATTTGAGAAACTAATTTTACAATGTAATATTAACGTAATACCTATAATATATTGACAAATACAATTTTATTATTTACTTTATTTTTGAGAATTGTATCATTTTATAAAATTATGATCTTACTTTTATTTCTTTTATAATTATTAATTAAAAAATTTAAAGCATGTATTATAGTAATTATTGAAATGTTTAAAAATGAGATAATACTTGTATGCAAAAAATATCATTTGATTGATTATAATATTATAATATATTTAAAAATAAATCTGAATTCAGATATGTTAAATATAAATGTATATTAATTATGTAAGTAAAAAACTATAAAAACTACTTTTATTTCTAGTTTTATTTTTATATTTTAGTTTAAGACTTAGTTAATTATGTAAATTAAATAAAAACTAATTTCCATTTTATTTACGAAAATTAAATAATTTTTTAATGTCTTTCACAAAACCGAAATCAATTTTCTTTGAATACATTAAAAATTAATTACAATATTGAAAGCTTTTTATTTAGATCTTAAATAATTTTTAAATTATATAATTATTCAATCAAATAAACATGATGAGTTTTATAAAAAATATTTTTTTACAATCTTATATAACTACTAAAACTAATATTTATTGAAATACATGCTTGTACTATTAATAATTATACAATACAAAAATAGATATCTACATTAGTAGTTAAAATATCTAACTAATTATAAGTCATCATATGTTTACATGTTTTAAATTATTATTATATTTATTAATTATGAAATTAAAAATATAATATGAAATGATAAAAAATTACGTCTTTAATAAGATAAAATCATATACTTTAAAATTACTAAAAATGTCTTTTATAAATTATAATTAATGAATCTTAATTAATTTTAAGAATATTACAAACCTGAAACTACCATAGCTTTTAAGTTATTGTATTCAGTAAGAGATTTTTTAGCAGAACCACCAGTTTTATCACGAGCATCGTTAAGAATTCTATTTACTTGATTTTCAAAAGTCTGCCTCAATGTATTACCAGGTGTTGGCTCTAATTCCATATTATGAGCCTTTTGAATAACTTCTATGACATCTTCTTTAGCTTTTTTAATAGCCTTCTGAATTTCCATGTAAGTCTGAGGGTCAGCTATAGTATCCCCAATACCAATAGAATGTCCTTCAAGTAATAACCAATTATTAATTACTGTTTGAATATTACCATAAAATCTTCCACAAACTTCGTGACCTAACTCCAGCATACAGATATGTAATAGAGAACCAGCCGAAGTACCAAGTGTTTTTTTACACAAAATTCCCATTATTAATTCTCCGTGTTCAACCATAACTTTTGTATCTCCAGGAGATATCCATTTATAAGGACCTTCATCCTCATCATCCGGGTGCGTACTATGTGTTCGTATCATATTTACATTTCCAGGAATGATAAGTGAAAATATTTGTTTACCCGTCCATAAAGGTTTAGGTTTTAAAATACAAGGCTGGGGCATTTTTCCATCCCAGCTTGGCAAGAACATAAGAATGTTCATCATTTGTTCCTTCTCAATAAAAACATCTCTCTTAGTCATTTTTCTAACAGCTGTCAATGTATCTTGTACAATTCCTAAGAAAATTAATTGCCATTATTTAGTAGTTTTTGTGTTTAATTTTTAATCAATATATCCAACATAATTCTTATATAAAGTTAAATTTAAATTAAACTAAAGATTTTTATGATTTAATTTCTATAAAATATATTAATATTTTTATATTAAATAATATTTAATAACAACATAATAAATAACTGATTTCTTTTTAACTTAAAAGGTTAGACTATCATGAAATTAAAAAATTTTAATTATTCTTTAGTTAAGATACATGTAAATATACTCTCAACCAAAAATTAATGATAACTTCATTAAATAAGTATGTTTATATTTTTTAATGTTTCTCCTAATATTATATTTTTAAATCTATTAAAATTGTATTTTTAATAATAGAAATACTATTTTGATCATCTTATTTAAAATTTTTATGAAAGTACACATGGTTTCATAACTGATATATAATTATTTTTCTACAAAACATTTCTAAAATACATATTAATTTTTAAATAGTGAAACTACCTCATACTTTGAAATATTGTCAATTGTAACTTTTTCATTAGTAATTTATAATTGTCAAATTATATTTTTAAGTATTAACTTAAATTATTATGTATGTTTTATCAATTAAAACAGTAATCAATTCATTTTAGTACTATAAATATTTTTTTTTATATAAAGCATATTGACAAACCCATGACTGGCTTATTGGCTTGTGGAGTGATGATTTGTCTTGGAGTAACATGAATATTTTCCACCTCAGCGCGAGTTTCCATAGACTGAGGAACATGTAAATTCATCTCATCCCCATCAAAGTCAGCATTATAAGGTGAAGTACAGCTTAAATTCATACGAAATGTACTCCAAGGTAAAACTTTTACCCTGTGACCCATCATACTCATTTTATGAAGAGTTGGCTGACGATTAAAAATGACCAAATCACCATCTCTAATATGTCTTTCGACCTTATAACCACATTGCAAATGAAGATCTGAAGGTTTTGGATGAAATCGCAAATCAATACGGTCACCATTATCACGAACAATATATTTTGCACCAGGATATCGAGTATTTCCTCTTCGTACAAGTTCTTGCATTTTATCGATATTAAATGGAGTTACAATTTCAGGAAAAGTTAAATTTTGAGCAATACTACGAGGTACACCAACTTGGTCAATTCGCAAATTTGGATCAGGTGTAATGACAGTGCGCGCCGAAAAATCGACACGTTTGCCCATAAGGTTGCCACGAATACGGCCCTCCTTACCTTTTAATCGAGCTTTAATAGCTTTTAGGGGTTTTCCAGATTTTTGCATTGCTTTTGGCATACCTGGCATATCATTATCAACAAGTGTTGCAACATGAAACTGTAACATCTTTATATTTTCAGATATAACATGTGTTGCTGCTCCTGCTTGTTCATTTCTTAATAATTCATTATTAGATTTTATTATATCAGAAAGCTTATGAGTTAGATCATCTTGATTCTTTGCTGAACCATACATAACTACAGCTGGTCTTACTGCTAGCGGTGGAACTGGAAGTACAGTTACAATCATCCAATCAGGTCGTGCAAACTTAGGATCCATTCCAAGGATAAAGGATTCTTCATCAGTTATATGCTTCAAAATTTCCCATGCACGTTCTGCAGTCAAGGCAATTTTTTTTTCCTGAGAATCTTCATTGACATGCTTCCATTCAGCAGTTACATCAAGTCCAGATCTTCTTAAATTTGGTTGGTAACGACCACAACCACCATGACCTGGTTTTTTATTGGGATCTAGCTCCTGACCATCTTTAGTTATATCCATTTCATCACCACCCTCACAAATATTTTTACTTTTACAAAGATCATAAACAAATGTTAAGCGCTTACGTGGTTGGCCTTTTGTTTTCATAACTATTTCTTTAATTTTTGGATTGTGCTATAATAAATATTATATTTATAAAATATTAGAAATTTTCAAGAATATTCTAATGAAAACTTAAGCAATATTCAAAAAACTTATTTTACTAAAAAACATAAATATATATATATATATATATATATATATATTTAAACTATCGTAAAAATGAAAGAAAATATAAAATTTATCAATATTTGATTTAATTAAATATACAGTTTAAACTATCCTATAGTTTGTAATTATAAAATTATACTTGAATAAATAAAGAAAAATGAATTACTAGAATCAACCAACCTATACATTATACTACTTTATACAGATTTCTTAAAAAAAAGATAGAAAATCTTATATAATAATTAGTTTAAATTATTGTAAAATAGAGAAAGATAGATTTATTATTAAGAACCTTGAAAAAAAATTTTTAATTTAACTACAATTTTACTTTTACGAACATATTATAAATAATATTTACTTACAGGACTAACTAACATTTTTGAACAAAAAAAGCAAACACATCTAAGAATTTTAATTGTTTTTGTTATAAAACCACAATGAAAAACTGGTTTTGCTAAATCAATATGTCCAAAGTGGCCAGGACATTCTGTCATGTTACCAGCACAAGTTTGACATCGAGAGTTTCTATCAATTACACCCTGTCTAGGATCCATAAGACCACCAAGCTTGGGACGGCCACCTTCCATGGTCTCGGCAAAACGTATGCCACCCTCTGTAACTGACATACGGCGCTGAAAATAAAATAATTAAAATTATATATCTGCTTAAATTTACTTACACCCTAGCTTTCATTGACTACACTATTAAACTTTAATTTACTAAAATTAAGAAATTATTAATATATCATACAAATATAATATGTTATAAAATAATTCTTCAGTTTCATTTACTTTTTAATGAAATATTAAATGAATAAAAATTGTACAAATTAATAATAAGTATTTAAGAATATATATATATAATATAATATAATATATTTAGAAGCATTAATTAACAAAAGAATTTTAAAATATAGTAAAAATTAAGTTATTTCATATTTTTAAATATAAAACATTGAAATAAATCATTTTAAAAAGTTAATTTTTGTTCCTACAATAATCAATCAGTTATATTGAGATATTTTTTTCAAATTTATACTAATTGGATTTAATTTTTTTTTTAAATTCATTTCATAATTCGTAATTAATATTTAAAATGCATTAAAATATAAAAATTTACCTATATTTTTTTATTTTACAACTCAAATAAGTATTAGCATAAAAAATAAAAGTATTTTACTAAAAATGTATACTAGTATGCATTATTACATAATTGTTTAAACATAGAAATAAATATATACAATTAAAAATTTAATGTATAAACAAATATTTTAAGTATATTTTCAATGCAAAATTTTAATATAAGATTTAAAAATAAACTAATTCAGTATTTGAAAAAATAAATAAACAGTCATAATGAATTAAGGAAAATTAATTTATAATATATAGACTCAAAAATAAAATAAAATGTAATTGAATACGACAGTTTACAATTGTAGTGACAATTATTTGACAAGAAATTAATGAATAATAACGATTCTTTAACTATATGACATTAATGAATATTAAATATGATAAATCATGAAACTCACAATCTCATCTGGTGATAAAATACCGAATTGAACTCTTTTCACTGTTCGCAATGTCGCCTTTGAATCTGACGTAGCCATTTTGATAATTAAGGTGGAACTTAACTTTTATGCACGACCATAAAACACTATCTTAAATTCTGAAATTTTAGCAAATGTTACTCTGTGATCAATTAATTACCTTATAGATTTATTAAAATTTAAAATAAAACTTGTAACACAATAGTAGAAATTGTAATTTACAGTTACAATACAGCACATTAATCTCAACCTCATACACCGGCGCCATCATTGAACCAATAATGCGATGTTAGTTTTTAGATCTACAAATCATCTTGATACTGATTGGTTAACGTAAGCACGTTCAGATTAATTTTCATCCAAAGAAAGATGTACTCAGTTTAATCTGAAAGGAAATAAAATTTCTAATGTTATACGTATAAATGTACAAATAGATATCTATAAATATATTAATAAATATATTAATAAATATATTATAAAACATTAATAAAATATTAATAATTCTTAAATTAATTCTTAATAATTTATAACTAGTACGGAATGTTATAAAATGATAATAAAATATATAATTTAAAATATATATTTAGAATTTGAATTGAAAATCATTCTTTTAAAAATATAGGTGCATCAATATTTTTGCAATTGCTTTCACATTCAATGTATTTATATTTATATAGGGTAAACTATATATGCATAAAATACATAGTTTATTAAAAATTTCGTCTTAATTTTTCATAAATTAAACTACGGAATTTATGAATCATTAATTTTTATTAAAAATTAAAAAATCAAGTAAGATAACTTTTATTCTATAGATATAAAATACTCATATTCATTATCATTTAAAAGAAAAAATTAAACAATTGTATAGAATTAAAATAGCTTTTATATATTTTATATAATCTTAACTTATATAGCAAGATTTAAAATTTCAATATTAATTCTATATTTTTATATACAACTTATATACCTATTGACATCATTTTTCCCTATGGTATTGACACATAATAAATATGTATTTCTAAACATTAACAAACAGTGTTTATACTTATTAAAAAAACTAATCTTTTTGAATCAATAAAAATGAGCTTATAAGTCAATGCTCCATTAATTGAAATGATAAAATAAATTATCTCAATATCTCATCACAATAAAAAATATTACTGTTATATAACTTTATTGTACTGTGTACAAATAATATATTCTAAGATGATGTAATACATTATATAGCCTTTCTTATATATATAAAAATATGTTTATTCTGTTCTTAAATTTCTCATGATCTCGCAATAAAAATTTATTCTATTTTTTTTTCATTACATAAACATTGTAAGGCCTTTATTGCATGTATGAAAATGGATTTGTTCTTTTCTTAAATTTCTCATGATAGCACAATAAAAAAGTATTATAATTTATTTACAATACTTGATAATTATTTATTATACAGTTATACAAAAATGTTTGCCATCCAAGTGAAGAAGCAAAAAAACACTGTGTAAGTAATCTATAAACATAGAAGAATTAATATATACAAGTATGGATCAGAATTATATGGCTTTATATTTATAATATTTTTCACTACTAATTAATTAGTAAATAAATAATAATAAATAAAAAATCTTATTTGTAATAAACTCTTATTAATAATTTTTTTATATTTTTGAAGGCGTACATGTTTTTTTTATTTTACATTTATAATTATTAATATATTAATAATAAAATTGTTGATTGTGCATGTTGTTGTAGGAAGTATTTTAGATTTGTAACTATAAGTTTTCAATTATATATGCGGTATATCATTTAAATTAAATGTATATAATTACAATGCTAATGTAATTACAGAATATTTAAGAAATAAAAGCTATCATGTTATTTTTATAAAACCAATTTTATTTTTATTTAAGTAAATAAAAATATTTTGATTAAAATAATTAAATACAAATAACATGTTATTAGTTATTTTTTTATACAATCGCATGAATATACATATGGTTAAAAATATGCAAATTAAATTATTTTAATGATTTAATATAATTTTAATCAATAATTATATAAAAAATATATAATCCCATTATTTAATTTATTTCATCTTTTATTGAATTATTTATTAAATTAGAAAAATTGTATATGATAACTGACCCTTATAAACTGTTTTATTATTTAAAATTTAGAAATGTCATGTCATGTCAGTTTCATTTATGTATGTGCACAATTTCGTATTTTTTTATTATAATAAATATTATTGAAATTTAAATATAATAGTCAATATTTAAATAATTAATAAATTTAAATAATTATTTTTAATACTTTTTTATATTATAACGTTAAATCAAATTATAGTACGAAATATATAACGTACCTCCTATAGTAAATTGTCTTATATTTTATTCATTTCTTTCCAAATTGATGTTGTATAATCTATAATAAATGTTTAAGCTTACTGTACTTCTGTGCTTTTAATTTACATTCATTCAACGTTTTTTTTTCAATAATTATGTTCAATTCGTTTTTTACAGGCAACATAACAAATTAAATCAAAAACGTACTTCAATTGGACAAATTAAGGTACTGCGATCGTCATTTTTATTATTAATTAGTCATTTGTTCCTTATTACCATTTTATTTTAATTAATTCAAATTTATTATTTATACAGAAATAAAAAATTCTGTAACAAAATTGAGACGAAAATCTGTAAATTTATTAACAATTTTACTCTATTCATCAATAACATTGATAAGGTTTGTCTTAATTTTGTTAAGTTATATTAAAAATTAAAACATATATTCAATAATTTATTTAAATTTGGTTTAATAAAAAATATATAGGAAATGTTTATAATTTTTCAAAATAAATTTTTAATACAGTACATTTTATTTATTCTAATTGTAATATTCGATATTGAGTTATTCTAATTTATTTTAACATTAATTTTGTTTATTACAGTTGTATTTATACATTTAACAAAGCAATAATGTTATCCTATATTGAACAATCTTATAATTCCACATTTCAAACAGCTCAAAAAAAAAAATTTAATAAGCATATTCAGAAGATATCAAAGTTTGTTATAAAAAAATATGCTATTAATCTATTATGTATCTAATATAAATTGCTTATACATTTTATTTTTACAGCAATCGATATGATTATTTTATATCTCCATCACCAATAAAATTACCAAAGTTTTATATTCCCAAAAATTTAATACCAGTAGTCACAAAAAATTTGAAGAGATTTCCAAACATGTCACAAGAAAGTAAACAATTTTTGAGTATATTAGAAGAAATAAGGAAAAACAATAAATTGCAGTTAAAAGAAGGCAATTATCTAAAAATTTTTGAACTTATGCTTTATATAGAAGAAATTCAAAATCGTTTAAATATGAAAAGATATAATCAATATCAAACCATTGAAAAATTAAAGCATACTATTAAAATACATATAAATGCAAATAAATTAGTTCAAGAGGGATTGTCAATTAAAAATTCTGACAGAGTGAAACTTTATGATTTAGAGAAAAAACAATTATTTTATATCAAAATTAAAACTATTATGGATGATCATATCATAGCAATTTGCAAAAATAGGTAATCAACTAACTTTTAAATTTGATTGTTATATATTATACATACATACATATATATATATATATATATATATATATATATATATATATATATATAAATTTATAAATTATCTATTAAATACTATTAAATGAAAATTTGTATTTTTAGAGTTTGGAATGAATTAATCACAGATAAACTATATAATATCCAATTTGAATTTCAAAATTATTCATTGAAATGCTGTCATTATGCCTTATCTTTGATAAATTTATATAAATTAACTCCACATTTTTTTCCAGTTAAAAGAATTACATATAATAAACAAATAAACAAGTGAGTTTTATATCATTGTATTTACCAATTAGTTATATATAAATTAATATTTTTAAAAAATTAATTTTTAAGTCAACATTGGTTTAATAAACATATAGAAAATAATCCAGAACAAAAACAAGCAGTCCTCAATATCATATGTAAATCATCGTTTCCTGCACCATATATAGTATATGGACCACCAGGTACTGGAAAAACTTCTACATTGGTAGAAGCTATTTGTCAGGTATAATTTATCATTAATTCTTTAAATTCCTTTTTAAGTAGTTTGAACATATTTTTTTAAATAAATTAAGTAAATAAATTTTTTTTAGATATGGTATAGTAATCCAGTAGAGCATATTTTAATATGTACATCATCTAATATAGCAGCTGATGTAATAACAAAAAAATTATTACAGTATATTCCTAAAAATAATATGTATCGAATGTATAGTCCATCAAAAGACGGGTTTGCATATATTATATAAAAAGGCAACTTAAAATAAAAATTTGTTTATAAATTTTTATTTTTAGATCTCAAATTGATACAGATATTTTAGAATGTTCAAATTACTTTGAAGGACAAATAATGATGCTACCAAAAGAAATTATTATGTTAAAAAATATAATTATTTGCACTCTATGTGCCAGTCTACAGTCTGTTTTCAATAAAAATATGACTTAAATTATAATTTTATTAATTATATACATACTTTTTAATATATATAAAATAAAACTATTTCAGATTACTATTTTTAAATTTTCGTGAAACACATTTTTCTTATGTATTCATTGATGAAGCAGGACAAGTAACTGAACCCGATTCAATGATACCTTTTGGTTTATTAAGCAGCACTAAAAAAGGTCGAATTGGTCGTTTACATGGACAAGTTATTATTGCTGGAGATCCTCAACAGTTAGGACCATTCATTAGTTCGAGGATTGCTGAACCTGTACTTGGTAAAAACTTCTAAACTTTTGATAATATAATAAACTTATTTTAAAAACATTTTCAAACTTTTATATTTATAATTATTATAATAGGAAAATCAATTCTAGTAAGACTTATGAATTGTGAGCCGTATAAAAGGTCTGAACATAATAGATATAATCCAAATTATATTACAAAACTACTTAGAAATTATCGAAGTCATCCAATGATTATTCATGTATCAAATAAATTATTTTATGATGATGAATTATTAGTTTGTGGGGACGAAAATATTAGAAGAGCTGAAGATTGGATACATCTTGCACAACCAAAATTTCCTGTTATATTTCATGGTGTTAAAGGTACAGAAATTAAAAATGCTGAATCATCAAGGTAAATAGATATATATATTAATTTTATATTTAAATAAAAGATATTCAAAAATTAATAATATTTTAGCCCATACAACATGGAAGAAATCAAAATTGTTATGTATTATGTAAATATTTTAATAGGAGAAACATTAAAAGAAAAAATTGTAACACAAAATGATATCGGTATTATTACATTATTTACTGAACAAAAACGAAAAATTGACTATGCTCTTGAAAAAGAAATGTACAGAGATATCGATGTGGGTACTGTTGAATTCTTTCAGGGACAAGAAAAGAATATTATTATTCTATCATCAGTCAGAAGTGAAATATTTTGTCATGACAAACAAAATCACATTGGATTTCTATCTAATCCTAAACGTTTAAATGTTGCCTTAACAAGAGCAAAATCTCTTCTAATTATTATAGGAAATCCAAAACCTCTGATGACGGAAAAACACTGGTGTTATCTTCTCAACTTTTGTAAACGCAATAATGCATGTCGTGGAATTGATTTCAATATACAAAATGATGTAAATGAAGAAATATGAAAAATTTTTATTTTTCCATTTTTATATGAATAAAAATATTCGGGACCATAATGCGAATATTGTACAAGTACCTAACAAATATTTTATATTACATAAAGTAAAGTATAATGAATGAAAAAAATACATTTAATATGTATATTAAAAAAAAGATAAATTATACAGAGATATGAATTTTACTTGTTTTTCTGTTTTAATTTTCTTTTATTTATAATTCAACTAAATAAACAAATAATTCTATTCTTGTATAAAAACATACTATAAAAAGTAACTAATAATAAATATAAATAATATTGAATATAAATAATAATAAAATTGCATATTCAAACGAAATTTTTAAATGCTATTGGTATTACTTTTTGATAAAGTATAAAATATGAGTCAATTGATATTGTTCAATATAACATTTCACTTTCAAAAATAATTTTAAGAATTCAGAAATTAAAATTATATTAATTCTTTACTAAGCAATATAAAAATAATCGTGAAATTATTTTTATCTTAATTTTAGAAATGTTATATTTAGATTGTATTTGCTAAGTTATCAAAGCATATGTTTTCATTTTTCATCTAATTCTATTGTAACTGTAATCAAAGTTACACTTTAAATTTAATAAAATTATACAATATTTAGTTTTAATATTTCATGTATTCGTGTGCTCATATTATAAAAGTTAATTAATTTATATAATTTTTAGACTAATATTCAGTTTATGCACAAATATGATCAAGAATCCAGAATTTAACAATGTAATTTAAAAATTATTTACTCAAGTAATAATTTTGCTTTGTTTCCATTTGCTTGATTCATAATGCCATGTTGAACAGCAAATTCGCGTTTAACATTGGCAAAAAGAATATCTGTTAATAAAAAAATTTGTGCTATAGCAAAAGCTAATGAAACACCAAAATAGAAATTTGCATTTGCTGATCTTGAATATATCCATTGATGCCAAACAGTTGGTGCAAATATTGTACAAAACAAAATAAAGCAACCAACAAAAAATCCTTGTTGCATATCTGAAAACAAATCAATAATTTTAATCTATGTAAGTGATTTTCTGAATACTGATTTCACTTTTAACAGTGTATTTTAATATTACGATGTAAAGAATGTTTTTAAATGTTATTATTTTATTAATTTTAAAATAATTAACTTTTCTTTAATTAAATAAATTAGTTCATATAAATGGTTTCTTTTATAATTTACTTATGTACCTTTTTCAAATATAAATGAAATATATAAGTATACTTAAATAATTTATCAGAACTTAAATACTTTAATTAAATACATTTAATAATATTAAACTTCTAATTATTAAATTAAAATATAAATCGATTAAATTTTAGTTAAGTGCTTACGTCTAAATAAGTGTCTCCATAAAGGTAACAAACTTAAATAAAATCCAACATCTCCAATACAAGGGTATGACTTGAAAATAGTATCTATAGCTAAATATGAGAAAGCTAAAAGCATTGGATTCTTATGAAGTCTTAGGGCTAATGGTACAACAAATAAAATACTGACATTAATTTGAAAAGATGCAATGAATAGTGATCTAAAATGCTCAAACATTTCAGTAAAAAAATACCAATACAATCCAACATTGGGTCTTAAATCAGGTACCAATAAAGTGAATCCAATGGTGTTTTGAAGGAAAGACCAATTACCCATTACAAAATACGAAGTGAAAAATAAACTTATTAGTATTGTAGAAAATAATATAAAAATTTTTAGAAGTGATTCTGGTTTTTCATTTGTTTTTACATTTTGGATTATACAAATAGCGCCAGGTATAATTAAACATATAGGATAAAATCCTTGTAAAGTTAAAAATGCTATACATAAGCAACAAATTATTTTTGAATGTTTTACCATTGATAATAATGTTAAGGATAGTAAAAAATTTGTAAATACTGTCGTTGTAAGCCCTACACAATTAAAAATAACATATGGATTGTATAAGTAAGCTGCTGAAACATAGAAAGTTGATGCACCATGAGTAGCTGTTATTGAAGCAAAATCTTGATGTATATTAACTTTATCAACATATGGAGTATTTTTTTCATCATAAGCAATCTGTAAATATAAATATTTTTATATTTCATACATTCAATATTTAATAAAGTTATTAAATCAAGTTACTTATTTAATAGTTATTTATATATTATATTTATTTACAGTTTTAATAAAATTAATATTTTAATTATTTATAAATAACCTATTATGATATTGAGAATAATTTCAATAAGTATATTATTTATTTTTTAATTATTTGTTGTCAATTATATTGAATTATATTTTAATACACTAAGATTTTTAGTTTTTAAATAATTATTCAAATATTATTGTAATTATAAATTTAGTTACCAATTCTTTGATATAATATTTAGCAGTAATACCAAGTAGATAAGCAGTTATAAGATCAATTATAACAAACAGTAACCACAGTCCATAAAAAGAAAAATGCTTTTGAATAGAATCAAAAATAATCAATCCTAATGGAGTTTCATGGAATAAATCTCCAATGTAAGGATCCACTCCAATATTATAAAGATACACACCTTCTGTAACTAAATATTCTTTTAAATAGAACTATTTTAAATTCATATTTCTTACTTACTTCTCTTCCAAGAGTTTAATGCAGTTGATACTTCTATTCGATCACGAATAATATTATGTAAATCTGAATTCATTAAAAAAATTCTTAAAATACCAGCCAAAGCAAAGTAAATAATTTGATTTTTCATTACTATCAATTTCAGAATGAACGAAAAGTAAGATTGAAAAACTTCTGATTTTAACGTTAAATTAATATTATATTTACATATTTTAAAAAACAATTTATTTATCTGTTAGTATTATTTTTATTATGGAATTCCAATGCAAACAGGTAAACATTTTTATTTTTTTTTTAATTCTGATAAAAAAATAAAAAAAATTTTAAGATAAACTATGAAGTAAACATTATGCACTAGCGCCACTAGCGATCATAAATAAAAATAAAACATGAATGAGTTTTATATATTACTTTTCCAAATGCAAGCAATTTGAACATAAAGATCCATAAGTTGTTTCAATAAGTAAACATAAATAGTATATCTGAAGAAAATTTTATTTTTCTTATTTTAACATTTTAGCGACTTTATTTAAGATCTTTAAAAATATAAATTATTAAGAATTATATTTAAACAAAAAAATGTAAGTGTTAAACCATAATATGTAGGTATAGTTTTGTCAAAATACAGACCATAATTAATAAATTTATATTATATCTATGTACAGAGAGGAAGAAACTTATAATAACGGTGATTATTATAATGTATATTTTAATTAATAATTAATATACCTAATATTTTTTAATTTTTATTGGTCATTAAAGAGTTTTTACTTACGATATTTTATACAATGTATTCAACAAATAAAAAGTTTTCTAATAAATAATGCACTGGTATATTTATTTCACTAAAGACTGCATATAATTTGTAATATATTATCAACGTATATATATTTTTACGAATGAATGGCTACAAATGGATATTATTATAAAACTACTAAAGTTGTATTATATTTTTACGTATTTGCACATTTAATAAATTAAGAATTAAATAAATAAAACATTATTTATGCATTGTAATGTTTATCAAGGATGTTATTAATTTTATAACAATAATATGTATTATATTAAAAAATTATGATTGAAATATGCATGCCAGAAGTTGAGTATTACGTTTCTGAAATATTTTTAAAAGTAACATATGTATCCGAACTAAATTTTTTAATTGATTCGTCGATACATTTTGTATGCATTAAAAAAAATAACAATTATATATTAAAATTTTGTATTTACAAATTTTTTATAATATTTTATAATTATGAAAAATATCTAATTTAAGCATCAGAAAAATCTAAAAGGATACTGTCTAAAATTAGGGTACCGGGTGAGGAGAACCAAATATCTAAAGCTTGGTATAAACTCCCAGATGGTTGAAGGGAGGATTGCGGGCAAGTGGATAGGATAGTGCATGTATTCAATAATAAATAGCTTTGTTATTTATTGTAGTTTATTGCGATAATTGCATTAGTTGTATTATAATCATTTTTAGTTGATGTTTGAATGCCTTCGTTTCCTGAGTTTTGTATTGCTATTGCCACAGAGCGGTAATGTGCGTTGTATGTACAGGTAGAAGGGCGTAACCTTTTGGTCCTCTATATGTAATGTACGTGGTGGTGGAGTTATAGAAGTCGTAGAAGAACAAGGTCGTAAACCCCCGCGCTTCCTTGTGTAGTGGCACGTGGCAGTAGCTTGAGTTTGTCTTGTTATTGTCTTATTGCTTACCTTATAGGCTCTGCAGGTGTCCTCTTGGTGGCACTTCATCTTAGTCTGCAGATATTGCCGCGTGCGGCGCCTCGTAAGTCTAGCTTGTGGGAACTAAACATGCCCCTTATGCGTTTGCAGATTGTGTGCGCTTGGTTGCTCTACAGTTATTTGTCTTGTTAGGCATATTGTGTATTATTATCATTATTAAGGAATGAAACTTTTACGTGATGTCTGCAGGTTTTGTCTTGTGCGGCAGCTTGTAGTTTATGTTTTGTGTGTTGCTGGCTATACCTCGCATTGTTTGCTGAATTTGCCTCGAGCGGCTCCTTATAGATTATGATTATGTTGTGCTCTGTGCACCACTGTGTTCTTGTTCCCTTTTCCTTGTCTTGCATTGCTGCGAGTGTATGATTTGATTTGCACTTATCTCGCACTTGTTATGAGTTGAATATAACTAGCCTTTGCCTCTTAATTATTGGCCTTTATTGTGTATGTCTACATCCTTGTTCCTTGGCAGTCTTTGGAGAAGAAGCCTTGTCGGCTTCTTTCTTGAAAGCATTCTCGGCCACCGCGTGGTCTTTACGAATTTCCTCCTTCTTGGCGTTTCCAATCAGAGCGCCTCTTTCTTGGTCTCTCCAATCGACTTGATTCTTTCATTATTGGCGGCTCCAATCAGAGCGCTTCTTACTTGCATCCCCACCTCGAGGGGGACTTTTTTGGTGCGTTCATGCTTCACTATCTGAGCCACATGTAGCTGGGTTTGACAACGGCGTATGTGTTGCAGTGTTGCAATGTCTTTTTCCTTGTATTTTTATGACTTGTTTGTCACAACTTTGTATGACATGTTTTTGCCAGATGCTTAACGATTTGATTTTTTGGAACCCTAATAGCTAGTTTTCCAGATGTCTAATGACTTGGGAATGTTCTTACAATTTCGAACACTATTGGTATAATGTATTTCGTCATGTATAATCTATTAAGTATCATAACTACATATAAAAATAAACATCGTATTAACTCATATAATATAAATATATATTAATTTATATAATATAAGAATAGTCAATACAATTACCTTATGCATTGACATTTCTAATCATAGCAACACTCTTAAGAACCACACGAAAGAAGGAGTTTAAAGACAAATAAATAAATAAAATAGAAAATGTATATAAAATATATAAATAAAATATTTTGAATTTTTTTACTTCATTAATTTTATCGTTTATGATAGAAATTTAAAGTTATAAAGTTATGTATAGATGATTGTTCGGGATTGAAGCAGTCCCATGAATTTCAAACAAAAGAAAGGTCATATACGCAGTCCGGCGTACCGCATGTGCGCCTAGACTGACCGCGCGTGCAGCAAGGTTGACCACCACGTGCGCCTAGCCTGATCCGCACGTGTGGACCGAGGCGGGTACTCGAGAAAGATGTTTACAAACAAAACTCGGCAAGTCCGAGCAAGTTTACGATTTGAAATATTATCATAATATTATAAATCAGTAAAACACCATCTGCGACGCACCTTAAGAGAAACTTTGCTTACATTCGAAGAGCTTACGATGTTGCTAGCACAAATCGAAGCCATTCTTAATTCCAGACCCTTGGAACCATTAAGTGACGATCCAGAAGACACGACCGCACTCACACCTGGACATTTTTTAACAGGAGGTCCGCTCACTGCAATTCCTGAACCGTCATTAAAGGAAGTACACATGTCAAGACTGTCACGCTGGCAATTCATTCAACAACGCGTACAACAGTTCTGGTCTCTCTGGTCGACTCACTATCTGCAACGACAGCAATCCATCTCAAAATGGCACCACCCACAGAATGACATCAAGGAAGGTTCAGCATAGTCAGTGCATAGTATACTGTAAAGACGCCGCGTGGCCATATTTTCGGCAACATAAGCTCATTCGTAAATTCACTCC